ACCAGCTTTAGTGATATAAGATTGTACAATATTTTTCATATATTTAGTTTGCAAGTACTTTTAACATAAACACGTAGTCCAAAAGGTCATTGGGATTTTCTTGTTCTATTTGTTTTGTTTCTTCGTTCTTTACTGTAGGTAATGTCTATTCTGCCTGAGAAGAAATTGAATAGCATATAGCATCTGGACTGAAAGGATTAGCAACTGTTATATCTTTGTTGGCTGCATTTACAATGCTTCAGTTGACGAATGCTTGAGAGAATAAAGGTCACAAGGTGATATTGTCGATTGGACAAACATTGCTGTAGGAAGACATTTTGGAGTGGTCAGGCCATTGCCACACTGGAGTCTGGGGGCATCCGCCAGAAAAGTTTTGAAAAAATTAAAGCTATGATATTGAATCTTGAGCCATTTTAACTACAAATATTGCATACACACAACATAATGTATTGAATTAAAAGAAGCAAGTTTTAATACATAAGTTGTAGCTATGCATGCCATGAAAAAGTGGTCAGGCCATGGCCTGACCGTTTCCTACGTACAGTCTTGACAAAGAAACCGAATTTATCTGTCGATCTATTTACTATTCCAGTAAAGGTGATCGTCCACTTGTTTACGAAGGCACGCACACTGTTTGTGTTTTTTCTGTGGTTGAAATAAAGATTGTTTTCACCGTGCAAAAAATGTGTGCAATCTATTTATTTCTAATGCAGCATAAAATTAAGTCAAGTTGTCAAACACAGATTATTTCTTGATCGAATCTGCTGTTCATAGCGGGTCTAACTATCTGATACTTTAAAATATTACACAACGAATGATTCTTTATACTTCCAAATTTAAAACTGTATTTAAATTAACCACTGGATATTATCTGCTCAATAACCTGTTTTATTTACTCAGATATTTTTCTTTCTCAGAAATATTTATAATATATTGTATTATGTATGTAAATAACACGTTTATCGTGACATTTTTGTGAATTCATTTAATGTTTTTCGGCGAATATTACTTCGTTTAAAAATTATACTCTTTTGCAACACTAGAGGGTGATTGATGTATAGTAGGCGAAGGTAGCGAATGTAAATTGTAAAAGTCACATAGTAATAGGACATAATTTATTCTTTTGAACGGTCGATGTTAGTCGTTATTTATCAAAAAAGAAGTAATGGCAAATATAGCAGTGCAGCGAATTAAACGTGAATTTAAGGAGGTTGTTAGAAGTGAAGAGGTGAGATTTTGCCTCCTTTAGGCTAAGATAGTAAGAACTAACAGTGACACTAACAATTTGAACTTGAAGCGAGCAACATATAACGAAGCAACGGTGACCATATAATATATTAACAATGACAATACTGATAATACAGTGGCGCAACAAGGGGCATGCTTGATTCGCCTGTCCAGAACATGTCATGAATGTTCGTTTTACTGTGTGTGAACCGGAACAGGAAGCTAGCATTTCCAATATGGCGATGAATGTATTAGAACTCCCTACCCCCCGTTTTATTATATTCGATGATGATGCTGAACAAAGTGATGATGAAACAATCCAAGGTTTATTTCAAGGAATTTCCCTTGTTTTGCTAAGTGATTAGAATAATTATTAATTATGCAATCGTTGTTGTAGACAAAAGGGGAAATTTGTTTGGAAAACATATTTGGCATTGTTACAAAATATTTTATATTTAAGTATATACTGCATTGATAAACTTGCTTTGCCATTTTGATGACATCACTCATCCCTTTACAACACTTTCACCTTAAGAACAATTGAAAGAAATCCAGAACACTATTTGAGTCACATCATTGCTGTGCAGAAAGTTCTACACTTCTGTGACAATGAATTGAGCATGCCCTAGGTTTACTTGAGGGTGTGGGGTTCAAAATCAGATGGTGAAATCTGTCTGTCTTCAGAGCATGCATAATAATGGTGTTTAGACAAAGAAGAGATTTGACAGGTCATATTGAAATAAATATTACAAGAAATTGGGAAAAACCTCATCACCTCCAGTTTTTCAAAGACAGGTTAACATCAAATTTTTATTTTAATAGAATTTGACAATGAAAAGTTGAAACTTAAGATCATTATTTGAGAATATACTGTGTGCCATAATAATCAAATAGAAAGATAAAAGGAGGGGAAGAATCCAGGCAACCAGGATATATATATATAATTAATAAAACAAAAGTTCAAAATGGTTGGGTTTGTTTCATGTGAATGTTACTTAAGTTTTACAGCATTATGGGAAAAAGGCAAATGATATCCATTGGAGCAGTAAAATCTGCTATTGAACTATTCAGACATCAGCAAGATTTTTGTAATAAACAAAACTGAAAGTAAAAGAGTAATTAAAAAAATCATTCAACTCAAAATATAGTTTAACAGAAGTCTTTTGTTACTCTGTTTTGTTGTTTACCCTAAGCCTAAAAACCATAATACAAAATGACAATTTGAGTTGTGTGGCTATAAATTGATAAATTTCTGATTACATATTGCATGGAAACTAGTCATGCAACACAGATTCTGTGGCAGACTTTTACTATGTCAAGCAACTGAAATACATTGAATAGAAATAGGTTTGTACTCCAATACAAATACTTATTAAAATATAAACATTGAAATATCTTTTCTTGTTTATATTTATTGTGAGTATTATATAATTGATACTTGAAACCATCAGTACATGGTGAAACTCCATAATTACAGAATTGAGGAAAAACAAGATAATTGTACATTTCACAAATACATCGTTTATTACGACCATGGTTTTGCCAGTAAAGGCATCATCGGGTACAGACTTAAATGTTTCGTAGCATATATGTATATGTTTAAACTTGTAGGAAACTGGTATTTAAAACTAACCTAAGTAAATTTTCTCTTGCAGTTTTACATTTCATAATTGACTTGAAGACTGCTGTTTCATATTATATTATTTTCTTTTTTAAGTCACCTATAACTTTTTTAATTGTATGATTTGCATCTATATATCCTCAATCTTCATTTTATCATTTGTTTTTAGTGTTGACTTTTAGTGCATCCCTTCCTTCAGTATTGTTAAGTAGAACATAGCAAGTGATAATTCTTATAAAAGTTAAAAATGTATGCTTATTGCTGTATTATTTGGTTGTCTCATGTGTAATTTCTTTTCTCTGTGCAAAGAATATTTTATTTCTTAGGTAGCAAAATGTGCCATCAAAGTGGAACTGGTTAATGATAATTACACAGAACTCAAAGGAGAAATTTCTGGGCCACCTGATACACCATATGAAGGAGGAAATTTTGTTTTGGAGATAAAGGTCCCTGAAACTTATCCATTTAACCCTCCAAAGGTTTGATTTTTATTTTGATAACCTTTATAGGTTAAAATTAGCTTATTCTCTTTATTTATTAATTGCAATGTGTATTAATATAAGTTTGCTACTCGTTATAACATAGGAAATTTTGAAATATAATTTCCTCGAAAGGTAGCCTGGAGGGTCACCTGTTTTAACCACTTGCACCACTATACAGCAATATGTTGTCTGTCAGTCAGTCAGTCAGTCAGTAGACACTAAAATGATGTCACACAAGGGATGCTTAACATTGCAATTTGTACTTTCGTGACATCAGTAAAATGTGCACATGCCATGAATTATGAGAAGAATTAAGCTACAATACAGCATGACATATGAACTTAAGAAATAAAAATATTTGTTACGCCTAATTTTGGTTTTATTTACTCTTGAAACAGAACACTTTTGGGGATCCTGTGCAAGTACATGTAGTATTAGTAATTTTTATTCTTTTTTTTAGAAATGTGTTATTACTTACAAAATATTATGCTTGTTGATTGTTGAATGTATATAAAACAAATGAATTCATTAATGTTAGTGTGCCTAATCTGAAATTTGTTTTAATAAAAACAAAGAAAGATGTTCAGTGGTCATTCTAGGCCTGGAAGATTTAAGCCGGTCCCTTAGAGGCTTATGTGGTATGGGGAGGGGAGGAGGCTGAGGTTTCCTACTCTAATGGAGATGACATTTAAAAATTTTAAATAAATATTTTTTTTCCTAATACATTTCTAGCAATCAGCTTATTCACTCTATTTCAGTTTTGCCTTTGTTAGCATTATAAAATTATATTTTTTTCTTAAATTAAATAATATTACTAATTATATGTGGGCTGATAGTGATGTTTGCTAATTGTCTAATCATATGTGCACAGGGTCAGTCCAATGGACTGACTTTCTAACCACCCCAAAAAAATACTTAATAAATCTAAATTACTTCCTAAACAGCCTCAGGCTCGTAACACAGTTTGCCTTTGTTTTCATTTAATTTTATAGTTTTGTTGCTCGTTGAACCATGTTAATTACTAAAAATAGCGATAGATTACCCAGCAGAGTGCAGAGAGTTTAGGGTAAACAAATTTTAGGTTACACAGCATAACATCTTCCTAACTACCAATATTCCTTATGCGTTCCTCAAGATGAAAAAAAATAATTATTTAAGTTTTTTTTTTTTTGTCTAATCTAATAAATTTTGAATTTTTACGTTTTATTTCTTTGGTTAAAAAATATACATCAATAAATGATAGATGTACATGAATATAAGAAATTTAGTGCTTCAGGATTGAGGCATTCAGAAGGTGGTCTTCATTACCCTTAAATTTTTTCAGTATGTTGGTTGTCCAAAAAATAATTCATATAGCTTTCAAATATGCATTTTAAAATAGGAACAATAATTGAAACAGTAAAACGAAATGCCCAAAACTCATAATTTGTTTGACTTTCTAACTGACCTATAAAAATGTTTGAAAAATTTATTCCAAGACAATATCACCACATATCTGCACATAGTTAAGCTATCTTCCCCACACATCTGCCTTAGAGGATTGCATTGTACTAGCCTTCAATGAACTCCCTCCTAATCTCATGAGATTTTTCCAGAATTGCAATACTGCATAACGATGTCATTATGCAGCAAAAGCCCTCCATCTAATAGGAGGGCGACACACCTCCTAGTGCTCTAACTCTCTCTATGCATTTGCACTCATGAATCTTCATTGTTTTCATCAACACTGAACACATCAGACATGTTTTTTTGCTAGGTGTAAGAAACTTAATTTCCTTCTTTTTTTCTACAAACTGTGAACTCACAAGTTCATGTAATATTTTCTACTACTTGTGTGAATTTCCCCACACAATTTATGCATCAACTATGGCTTCTGAAGGCATGTTGACTGAGGATGAGGTGATGGATATTGTGCATAGGGTAGTGGATTTCCTTGTATATCCAAGACCTTCAGGTCTAATCCCTTCTTCAGGTATTCCTTCCCCTCATTTTAAGGGGGAGAATGAGGAGAACAAATTTGATCACTTCCTTCCTCATCCTTTTTAGGCTTTGGAAAACTTCTTTCCCTGTTGAAGAAAACCCTCAAACTTCTTGGCATTATCAGGACTTAATATCACAAGTATGTGCCATTCTTTTTCTTTCTGCTGTGTCATATAACTTCTAATTCCCTCCTTATAATCCTGACCCTAACATCTGTTTTCTTTTACCTCCTCCTGCTCCTCACATTGACATTCATGCTGATTTCTTCCTTGACCAATTACATTCCCATAACCTCAGGCAACACCCTCGTCATCAGTTTGATTCTTAAATCCTGGCTTACACTCATTATGAATTCCCCCTTTTTTAATTCGCAAAATTTGGAATCTCTCTCACCTCTTTGAAGGGCATAGGTTTTGCCCTCCAGAGTCCAATACTCCTGTCTTTGCCTGATCCTTCTTACCATGCTTCTTTAGCTTTCCTCTCTACACCTCAAGTCTGAGGAACTATACTATGCCCCAGATGATTTTTCATCCAATTCTTGTTCCATTCTCTTCTCCATTATGGTCCGTTCCACTTCTTTTGCCCTTTCCTTGCTTACTTGGTTCATTGTTGAGTAGAGATACTCTCCTCTCCCAGATTTGACTTTCTTCTTCCTTTCTATGAGATCTTTGCCCAGCCCTTTTTCTTTGACCTGAATTTTTTTGGGTCTTCCTGATTCTATTAAATCACAGGTAGAGGCTACCTGTCATCAGTCCTTGCTTTTGCCCTTAATTTTTGGACTGTCCCAAACCCAACCCTCCATCTCTGTATCTCAACGTAATCCCTCTGTTTCCTGTCTTTCAATTCCCATTTTTTGGCATTCCTTCTCTACCTGTCCAACTTCTATTTGTCAGACTTGTCAAGCTCATCAGTAACTACCAAGTTGAGTCAGGGCCTGTGTGGTGGGGGGGGGGGGCAGCTGTTGTATTTGTGCACCTTTGATCACACTTTTCCATAGATAGATGGGCTACTCTAGTTATTACCCATGGATTCCCTCTAAAACTTTCTTCCCCTCCCTCTCTCAGCTCTCATCCTGTTTACTTTCCTCCTTCATCTGATCACATCTCTCTACAACAGCTCAAAGAGGTGGTGTTTGTTAACACTACTAAATCTTTCCTCATTCCCACACAATTTTTTTGTTCACTGGGGAGTGTTTTTCAACTCCTGTCCCAGCCATGTTCAACCTTCTCTCATCCACCTGTGGGCTATGGAACTACTAGCCACCAGAATTCATGCCTCTCCTGCTCATACTGTGCAAGAGGTTTTATTTTATTTTTTTGGTGACCATGGCTTCATTGGAACCACTTATCCTTTTGGGTCATGCACCTTCTCCAATGATCCTTGCACGACCAGTGGAACCACTCACAGGAATATTTGATCTCAATGGTTCATCTGTTCCCTTCTGTTCTTGATGATCTGTCTTGATGACTAGACCTATCCAATACCACCATTACCTCCATCCATACTGGACCTGTACCTCTTCATGGATGCTTCCCTCTCTGGTTGGAAAGCATCTCCAAATAATAATTTCACATTGGGCACATGTATCCAGTACAAATCCTCTCTTAATTTCAATGCACTCACACTTTTGGCAGTCCATTGGGCATGCTCCTGTTTCTTACCCCTCCTTGTGGATCATTTCATTATAGTCCATTCCAACAACTCCACAACTGATTCCTATATCAACTGCTAAAGGGGTACCCAATCCAGAACCTTTTGCTTACAAACTCTTGACCTTTATTAACCTTGGTTTCCTCTTTTATGCTACCTGACAACCTGACCCCCTCTTCCTCTGCCATCATACCCTCTCTTTTGCTTCAACCTCACATCACTCTTCCATCAAGGGATCTTGTCCCTCTTACTTCACATGTGGGTTTTATCCAAAACTGGACACTCCAATCATGTAATCTGTTTCATTTCTCATTCCTATCTTCTTTCCACTCTGTCTGTTTACCAGCATAAGTGGCATGTCTTTTGAGATTGGTCCATTCGTTGTCACCTTCCACCCGACTGTCCTACTGTCAGCCATCTCTCCTCTTTCTTTGCCTGGCTGTTGGATTGTCGATTAGTTGTCTCCAACATTATCAGTTATCTTGTGGCCTTGTCAACAACATTTCACCTTTCTTGATACCTCAGTTCTCATCACCTTGTTCCATTCCTTTCTTCTCCATAGATCTCCTCTCCTTGCTTCCATGTGTGACTGAGACCTCAGTGTCATTTTGTTTAGTCATACCCATGAATCTTTCGAGCCATTGGCAAACTGCCACCTTATACCACCCTTCTCTCAAGACTTATTTCCTCTTCTCACCTATGGCCACTGTCATTCAGATATTTATGCTATCAATTCTTCCCCTACCCTCTTCCATCACTCATATATTCTTTCTTATCCTGACTGGTTCTTTTTCCCTAAAACTTTGGCTGATCAGGAATGTGACTCTCTTTCTGTCCTATTTCACTGCCTTTTATTTCTCACCTCTACAATTGACAAATCATTTTGCCCTGTTTGTGCCATTTGTTGCTACTTGTTTTGTACCTCACGCTTTATAGATTCTTGTAACTGACTCTTCATTCCCTAGGATTCCTCTTCCTACAAAGACATTTCTCCTTCTTCTCTTACAGATTGAATTCAACTAATGCTGTGTTTAGTCTTTATTGGGGATTGGTGTTCCCAAAATTTTCCATATTTCATCCCATCAGATTCATCACCTCATTCATTCCCTCACATTTCATTTCCAGTGGCTGCTGGACAAGATCATTCAGGCAGGCATGTGGATTACTACTCTCACCTTCATCACCCACTATCTTTACCATCTGGCTTTCTCATCTCCTGCATGTTACTGCCTACCTCATTCACTATTCTACAATCTACCCACTGTCTTTAGACTAGTAAGTACCTTTCCCTTTTCTTTATTACAGCATTTGCTTATAGGATCCATCAGGTGTCTGGTGGTGCTTCCCAGGTATACTTATTTCCCAAA